AAATCATCTTCAGTCATCAAATTGCAAAATACTGATCATAAAATCATAGTTAATAGGATCAAATCATCAATTTGATCTGCTATTTGAGATAAAGAAAAGGTATGTGTAATAGTCACTCATCGCTAAGATAGCATTCGTAGACTTTTACATCATACATAGATATTTCGCTGTCTTAACATATTTTGAGGTAGTTTGGTGGGGGCCACCAGCGGCCGAGCGGTAAAGTCGCTGAACACAGGTAGTTCGGTCCGAGGTTCGAATCCCGCGAACGGGCTGGCTGCATGGGCGTTTTCGTGGTTTTCCCCATGTGTAACGTGTATACGAGCCGGGTTCCCTTAGAAAGTCCTCCACGAAGGCATTTCCCCTTAGGCAGATAGCCCTCGAGGCTTTGCCATAATACACACACACACACAACATATTTTGATATCAATGAAACTGAGTTGAATGACACAGGATAAAAGGTACTTTATCAATCAATATATTTTGTCTGAAAAGAGGCCAAGTGGCTGAACTTGAATATCATTGATATTTTGTCCGGACAGCTGAACTTGCATAAATCTTTCATTTGTGTTTAACCAAGCAAAATAAATACGTCTTCTACAAAACTTTCTTGCTATTTAGCACATAACAATCTTTAGCAACCAAGATATCATCAGTAATTATTAGTAACTTGCCCCGCTTTCTGTTCCTAGTGGAAGGCAAGAAATTTCTAATGTGTAATACTAACAGGTAAAGGTGCACGAACACGTATTGCCCCAATACCTTAACCAGCTAGAGTATGAAAAACCATACTCTCTTTCCTAAGAAAGATTGGAGTTATACATCGGAGTTATTACATTTAAACATAAGAAGATAATTACATAATATAACACAAATGTTGAGTATACTCATTAAAGTATTGGATTACGTAAATACATTAGAGTTAAATTTTTGCATTAGGCATATTGAACTACGAATTTTGCATTTTTATGTAAGTATAACATATAAACATATGGGATTTGATTTTGCTAATATACTGGGAATCTGATTCTTGTTATGTGAGGATATTTGTTACAGTTAAGACTGTACTCAGCTCAGATCTTTTAGTCCAAAGTTCATAAATAAAGTTAATGGGCTCAGTACAGTATGTTTGATTTTTGAAGCATTCCTCATATGTAACGAGAATACAAGCCAGTTTTCCTTAGGCATGCCTTCCTTAGACATGCAGATAGCACTTGTGATTTTTGCCATAAACAAATATGCCAATTGACGCATGTCATTAACCCTTTGCGGCACAGTGTATCCGGTCTGGAGACACCTAAACATTTTCCTTCTATACGCACAGAAAATTCAATAAAAAAGGATTTATAGGTTACTATAGGTTTCTCTGAACCTTCTTCATTTATGCCTACCAGCGGCCGAGCGGTAAAGTCGCTGAACACTGGTAGTTCGGTCGGAGGTTCGAATCCCGCGTACGGGATGGCTGCATGGGCGTTTTCGTGATTTTCCCCATGCGTAACGTGTATACGAGCCAGTTTCCATTAGAAAGTCCTCCACGAAAGCATTCCTCCTCTTAGGCAGATATCCCTCGAGGCTTTCCCATAACCACACACACACACCCTCCTTTATTTATGTTTAATTCTTTAAGACCCTAATTTTTCAAAGAAAACTTCTAGATTACTTTAGGGTATAAAAAGAACTGTTTGAAAAGAAATGTCTATGTTATTTTTTTGGCTGTATGCTAATCTCCTTATTTTATATTAGTTTTAAATTTTTACCTTTAAATCTTGCCTAAAATCAAACGGCGAACCCTAGGTGTGCCCAGACCGGGCTCATCGATCATCTAGGACAACTGAGAGTCTGTATTCTTTGTTTCTCCGCATCTCATCGGTCAGTTCATTGACAACAATGCTCGTTTCAGCATTTTGTTCAGTTCGTTTCAGCATTTTCAGCACTCTTTTCGAAGCTCTATTCAATCGGTGTGCCCACTTTGGGCACACCTACATAATTAAAAGATAAGTGCTGTCTTCACAAAAATTTACTTGTGTACTAATTAGACTTACTAGGCCTAATTAGACTGCGTACCTTTTTTTTTTAATCAAAACTCCAACTTTATAAGGTAGCGTTCCGGAAAGCGTTAAACAAATTTCCTCCTTCAGAGAAAGGGTTAGGCCTTGCTTATTTTTTAACTGCGAATTAGATTTCTCCCCATGATCTCCCATAAGTGCTCAGTCGGATCAAGTCTCTAAAGGAGCTGGTAAGGCCCATATCACACGGCGTTTGTTTCACACGAACAACTATTTCGGACAATTTTTCTGCCTGCTTTACTATTGAAAGAAAGACGTGCGACTTTTTCCTTTCTTTCCAAAAAAAATTGCAAGTTGTTCGTTTTCAACCAATCAGCTATCAGCTTCGAATGCTATCACTTTGTTTGTAATGGGGAACCAGTTTCCCCTGCGTTAACCCCCAAAGCGATATGTGGTGATTGGCTGTTGTGACAAAGCAGAAAAATTGTTCCAAACAGTTGTTCTTCCGAAACAAACCGACGTGTGATAGCAGCCTAAGTCTCCTCGTTGTCTAGATCCCGGCATTCGTTTATTGTACTGGCTCGGATCTGTACTTTAACAGTCGCGGCCCGGGGGATAAAAACACAAGCCTGGCAGTTCCAAAACATCGAGGGAAGATCGTATTATTCCTTTGGACCAAAGGGGATTGATGGAGCATCGAAACGATGGACTCTGCGTTCCTGTCGCTCTCCTGTATGTACCTTGACCTGCTACGATTGAACTTCTGTTTACGCCTTCCATGTTTTAGGCCCCTCCTTCCTGCCAAGCCTTTCCTCGGGATTTTACCTTCGTCTGTACTCTCCATGTCATGCGCCGTTCCGGCAAAAGTTTCATCAAACCGGAAACATTGCGTTACAACTGCAATACTCCGGCAATAGCAACATTGATTGATTGAATTGATGCTAAGTCACCAAACTAGGGATATCGGTAGCGGTGTAGCAACTGGTTCCTTGTCCACCAAATTCCGTGTAATTCTCCGTGTGGTGGAGCGGCCCGTTTAATACTGGTGAGCAGCATCATTGACGACTAGTCAGATCTCCAGGCCAATAAGGCCGCCCCCGTCATGAGACTCGAGAACTGGGAGTGTTAACCTCGCGGACTAGGGTTGAACTAGGTGTAGAAAAAACCTAAGACGTCTGTCTCCGGCAAGTATGGGATTGGCGGCAGAAAATGATAACAGTAATGTTCTCCAAAGCGGCATATTGCCTGATTTCTTACTTCCCGCTTAATGCGGAGGATTGTAGAATGAGGAGTGGGCCGTGTCATATTCTAGGTTAATGAGACGGTATGCGTAACCAAAGAGTCCTCGCTGTCTAGTAGATTCTACCCTATTATGGTTCAACTAGACGTTTTGGAAAGAAAAGAAAATAGCATTTAGTAACTTTAAAGAAGAGGTCGCCTGTCATGTGGCTATTGTTAAGAGCTTGAAATTTCAATATAAGTTCATTAATCATGCTATTGCCTTAGACCAAGACCCTAGCACTACTATAACTATCTTTGTGTATTTTTCTTCTAAACCTTTTCTCACCAGATGAAATGGCGTGTAGAATCGGACTTCTGACTGAACAAAAATCTCATCGAAGAACCATTCGTATTTACGTATCATCCCATCAACCGTGAAAATGCTACGAAGCAGAGCAAGATCAGTTATGCATAAGCGTGAAATCGTAACGCGTTCATAACATCTGCGGCTTCGTTTAGTGTAACCCAGATGATTATCGATAAGCTACGCTATCTTTTGTTTTTGTAAACAAGGATTTAGAATACTTGCTGTATTCTTTTTCTTGTATTTTGGAACTCTTGACCTGCTTACTACAGAACAGCAGGTAGTGGATTATTTTTAATGTTATGAGTGTTATGAGACCTTACCATCAAAAACGTGTGTATTTAATGGACATGAAATGGTCAGCTAACAAAACAGTAATAGACTTGGAACGGGAACTTTGTACTCCAGCATTCTAAACGAAGCTTCCGAATGGCCTAATAAAATAGTAGAACTCATCGAAAGCCCTTTTATGAAGTGCTGTAACGAAACCGATCGAATACTGATTGTTTATTAAATAAAAGAGGCATCAGTTCCTTCAGAATTCCGCAGGAACATTTGCCGATATCCTCACTAACTGTCGTAACTGAATGGCAATCACCTTTTACGGTAGAAAGGATGAGACGCAAATACCAGTAATGCATTTTTCCAATTGCTGCATGTTATAAATTCTACACTCTAACCCATTTTAAATTTTTTACGGTACTTTCTGGATAGCACTATTCGGGTGATCAGGCTGGATAGTCATAAATCTGCGTAATTCGTCAAGCAGTCTTGCCGAATCTTAGCTTTCTGTCATAATATAATTTAACAAGCATTTTCATATCCGCCAAAAAAAATTCTTAAGGTTTTGGAGCGTGGTTATTTCATAGGAAATCAAAGAAAGCTGCACTAAAACATATTGTAACTGAAAACTATAATCTATAACAAAATTGTGCTTATGAAAACAGGAAACACCGAACGTGCTTTATACTCACGACTCATAAAATAATATAAAATGTTCTCTTGAAAGAATGTAATAAGCTCATACTCATAAAATAACATTACAGTTGAAGAGTAAGTACTAGCAAAGTTAGTACTTGCCATTCAGTTGCTAGTAAAATTCAAGCTACAGCCTCTGTTCTGCATTCTGGAATGATGTTAAAACCAGACCTACAGATTTCCATGTAAGCAGATGAGACCCGTTTTTTGGATCATCTATCGCCGAAATTACCAGGCTAATAGGATTTTCCTTAGAAAAACTAATTGAAATCCTGGCACATATCCACCAGTTGCCGAGAGCATAAATCTTTGTCCTTTCCCTATAGTTCAATCCAGCTTCGAATCCCGACGAATATATATCATAAAATTTTCAGTTTTTTAAAGCATATACATTTATATATTTGTTTCTAACTTGAAATCTTTCTTTCCAGGTTTCTAGACCAGTTAAAGTCACAGTTTACTATGAGTCGTTATGTCCAGATAGTGGTGCATTTTTTGCCGAACAGTTACAACCTGTATATGAGGTTATTCCTTCTTACATGAAAGTGGAACTGGTTCCATATGGAAATGCTCGAGTAAGTAGATGTTGTTCTGTTTTCAGATTTATATTGTGTATTTTATCGATGCATACTACAATGTTCTTGAATGGGACAAACTAAACACTTCTGTTTTTTCTACGTTTGAAGCCAAGTAAACAGGCTAGCTGTATTGCGGTGTTTTTATAATTATCTCCATGTATATTACCATACTCCATGTTTTCATGATTATCTCCATGTATAAATATAAACGTAAACGAATAATGTATGTTAGGAATTCCTACACGAAAACATCTTGCAGAGTTTAGATACATAAGTAATTCTAACCATCGTAGTTACAAATACTTTATTTCATGTTTTAGTAATTCAGAAATAGCTTAAACACTATTGACTAAAATCAGGATTTTATTATAATGATCATTAGTTCTCTGAAACTTCTGATATTTTTTATTTAACAAACATCCAGTCTTTTAAATATCTAAAACAATTTTCATTTATTTTTCATACTCTGTTACTAACTGCAATTATTTTAAAGGTTTCATCTAAGGAAAGGTCTTCTTTTATTAAATCATATTCCGTATCAAATATATATGTCTGAAATTAAAATTTTGGATTTTAAGTTATTCTTCTTATAAAACTGAAAAACATCAAGGAAAAAGAAGTACATCGGTTTCCAAAATTTAAACAACAGATGAGGAAACTGCTGATAACTGAAAAAGTACGAAAGCGATTCTGAAGAAACTTAAAAACACACGAAAAACGGTTTTCAGAGTATTTACATTTTGTGATATCAAGAGGAATATAAAATCTCTTAAATTCGGACATATAAATTAAATACAAAAAAAAATTCTCGGTAGTGAGTATGATCACTTCAAATAGCAATACAGGCCTGACAGCGATGTTCCATACAGTTAAGGGTATGAGACATCGCTCTTCCGCCCAGACAATTTCAATCCATTAATTGTCGAAATTAATAGTCATTTAGAAACTTTGAGTTCATATTTAAATATTAAGCTGCATTGGGTTAAAGCCTATGTAGGCTTTATTGGTAATGAGAGTGGCCAACAGCCTGACCAGGCAGGCCGTCTCAAATGTTAGTGCGATGGATATTGAAGTAACAGATTCGAAGAGAATTCCTATTCGAAGAATGCAAGAGTCTTACGTTAACAAATAGAAAATACAGTGTTTCTCTTCACCTAAACACAAAGGATTTATGGAACTAATTAAAATCACGAATAAGATGAAAGGTATGAACAATATTTACGTTAATCAGGTTTTAACTGGACATGGTAGGTTTCGTTCTGTTTCAACCGATTTAATCTGCAGGAAAATAAATTATGTAATAGTTGTCAGGTTGATGGTGATGCTAGGCATTTCGTGGTTGATTGTAGTTTAACAGCCCCTATTACACAGATTTTTAACATTACTGATTTTAATGTAAGTGTCATTAATTGTAAAGTTTTTAAATCATATTCTATTGGTCTAATGAAGTTTATCCATGAAAATAGGGCACTGGTAGGAATCTTCTGTTAAAACTGAATTTTGTATTTATATAGGTTTTAGCTATCTGTGGTGTTCTATGTTGTGAATTTGTGTTTATAGATTTTTTTGCTTGTTTGTTTGTTGGTCTGCAATTTTGTGTTAGATGTGCTTACTTATTTTTGATATAGTACTTTTGTTTGTTGTTTGGGGGTGGCTGGGTTACTGGCTGCCCTCGTTTGTGGAGATACGGGGCCCCGTCTTTTGAGCTATGGGGCACTCGTGTCCAGGTGGGCTCAAGGGAGCCTCCAATTCTTACAATTCTTACAGTTTATGGTACTTTCAATGAACTGCAGGAGTATTAATGTCCATTGATCGCGTAAAGCCCGTCTAGGGTTGGAAGAGAGGGTTATTAAATCATAACAGCGGACGGCAGTAAAATGCCTCCGGAAAGAGTCGCACACATGCTGAAATGGGAATTTAGACGAGAAAACGTGTTGGCGATTCCATTTGGTCTTTAGTTTCTTCTTTAAGAAACTGGTGCATGAGGCAAGCAGTGTGAGGACAGGCATAAGTTGCTTGTAAAATGGAGGAATCGTCATTTTGCCGCAGCATACAAGCCAACAATAAGATCCAGAATGTCGTCCCGGTTCCTCAGAACAATGGGATTTCCACGTGGTACTATATAGAGGTCGGTGTGCCCATCTAAAGATACTCCTTCTCATACAAGAACATTATCTCCTACATAGATACCCCTTTCTCCTAAGTTAGATGCAATATATCGAATATGTAATGCTCTTCAAATCGATAATCACTTTGCAAAGCAAAGCAGGACTTGGAAAACAGAAGAAACCTCTGCTGACTTTCAGTCCAATTTATAAGACTACGTTTCAATATAAACGTTTCCTTCGATTGCGAGAGGTAAGCGGGAAACGCAATACCAGCCGCCTAGCATACAGACATCTTTTTTGCAGCTTTTTGCATGTTGCCGTGCTTGACACTGTCCTTCCTGTAGCGGAAATCTAAGCTGAGATGAAGTTGCAATCTTGTTGCGACAAGTTCCAAATTAAAATACATTTGTATTTTAAAATGCATCGTCTTTACTTTTACTTTTGACAAGCCTGTAACAGGTAGCTAAAAATTCACGAAGAATATGCTTAATAATACTTTCTGGATGAATCGGTGTAATAATCCCTTTAATTTTGAATATTAATTCGTATTTGTTTTAGAGAAATTTGTTATAAATGTTATAGCATATTAGCATGTTTTTACTTTCATGATTCTTGCACAAAACTCAGGAAGTAATCTACTTTACTTAGCCTTTAATTTAATTGTAAACAAAAGTGAGAAATGCATAAAAGTATTTACAAAGCTAATGTCAATTCTTTATGCCTACAACTCTCACCATAATTCAGCGTTGCAGCTTTGACTGCGAGAATTGCTTAAAATGAATTGTAATGTATACTTGGATGTATTGAAAATGCATAACAGTAAATAAATTGTATATTGTGAATTTTATATTAAAATGGTTTGTAGTATTTTTAATCTCTGCATATCTTAAATTTGTTCTACAAAAGGTTCATTAATAAAATGTTAACATATTTAGCTATTTCGATGATATTTACGATACACAATTTTTTTATTGTTTTAGTACAAACTCCAAGGTGGCAAATACGTATTTATGTGTCAACATGGAGCAGAAGAATGTTATGGAAATGTTGCTCAGGTAAGTATAGGCAAATATTCTTATCAATACTCTTTTAAGGACTAAAAGGTGTGCTGATAACGTTTGTTAATGCAGTTTTATGCAATACTTCCTATTATGCTAACAGCTGTTTTTTTTTTTTTTTTTTTTTTTTTTTTTGTAGTTTCATAAAAGTACTCTCGTAAATGGTTTGGTGGAAAAGACAATTATGCACTGATAGTTTCCGTGTTCGATTCCTAGCGAACGGGCTGACTGTATGAACATTTCCATAGTTTATCGTGTATCTGTTAACGTGAATAATTTAACACATTTACATTTTGGCTAATCTTTGGAATATGGTAACAGTAGTTTGGTGACATTTTGGTAAGGCGATAAAGGTTAGTAGCTGGGACTTTAGCAATAATCTGAGAAGTACATTCCATCTTCTATCTTGTGTGAAACAGTGTTGCTTAATAATTGGATCCCAGGGTCCTCTCTAAAGTAAATTCCAAATTTTTATTGGGCCCACCAGCGGCCGAGCGGTAAAGTCGCTGAACACTGGTAGTTCGGTCCGAGGTTCGAATCCCGCGAACGGGCTGGCTGCATGGGTGTTTTCGTGGTTTTCCCCATGTGTAACGTGTATACGAGCCAGTTTCCCTTAGAAAGTCCTCCACGAAGGCATCCCTCCCCTTAGGCAGATAGCCCTAGTGTGCTTTGCCATAATTAAATACACCACACCACACCACACCAAATTTTAATTGCATTTATGTGATCATCCAAAAGAGTTGCTTGAATGGTGTATGAGCGTAGGATTAATTGCATATAATAAGTATGAATGTCCAAACATGTGGGAATGAAATGAGATTGTGTGAAAGGAAAGATATTACAGATACGTTTGAATGGCGGTGCAAAAAATTTGGTGAAAAAGGACTTTGGGAAAATTCCGATCGTGATTTTAGCTAATAAGCACTCAGAAACAATTTCGCACGTAATCTTCGTCATGATTAAGCACTTTTGTTCGTAAAGTTGCATAACGTATTGGCTAAGTTTTAGAAAAATTTTGAGTAAAAAAAAAAAAAATTCTGATGTGTACACCACATGACTTCCTTGTACGGAATATTAAATTATACGCATTTTTTCTTGCATTTCATTTAAACTTATTGGATTGAATTAAATCTACTTCGCCGACAGCGCATAAACCACAATAGAATAAATGCATTCTTTAAAATTCACTCTAGTATTTGTTTACCATAGCGACACTCTGGCGCTAGGTTTACTTAACAGTATTATATTTCGTTCACATTATAACTCAGAATGCACAAAATTTATATCATTTAAAGAATAGAATTATCTAATCGTTGCCACATGTTCTATTCAAATACTATAATAAAGCTAGAATGATGTATAAAAGAAATTAAGCAAACAAAACAAAAAAGAAACAGTTTTTCACACAGACGATTGAGTATTTCTCATTCAATTAATTCAGTTCTCACTTCGCGAGAAGGCAAAAATACATAAAAACTCAAAATATCTATATTAAAAAATTACGAAGTAAAATCTTAAACACTTATTTCCTCGAAAAAAATTCCAGAAAGGAATTAAGCATGATTTAATTGGCAATAATAAATGAATGCGTTATCTTTGTTGTTGCGAAGCTAAGTTTCTCTAGATTGGCAACAAATCCACTAGTCTCCTGTTTCAAATGTAAACAATCAATGGCCGCCATAAAAAAAAAGGCTTAGCGGCACTTAAACAACTTTAAAATTGTTGATAATTCTAAAAATATTGCATACAGATTTACTAAAGGCATAAAATCCTTAACCGGAAGATAAAAACAACATAATTCAATCATTTTTAAAGCAAAAAATGTACAATTTACAAACATATAAGAGTAAAGAAATTGAGATCACTGAGCCGGGTAACAGAGTGGATATATATATAAATAAATATATTTATATACGTTTGGTGCGGCCGATTGCAACCAAAATACGAGGTGCACATCTACATGTTATAGCAGTCCTATATACAAAATTTCAACGTTCTGAGGCTACTCGTTTTTGAGTTATGCGAGATACGTACGTACATACGTTCGTTACAGACGCCACAAAAAATTCTCTTCAGAATTAATTTTAAGGCAGTTTTATAATTTTTTTTTGGAGGAAACGAGTCTTTTATTCTGTCCTTACGTACAGATATCACGCAAAAACATCGTTAAATTGCATTCGATAGCGGTCAAAAGGGATATTTTCGTTGAAATATGCTGTCTGAAACTTTTCGCGATTACAATACTTCCTTTTTACTTCGTTCAAGGTAGTAAAAACATGCCTTTACTTCGTGAAAACAAAATGACATCCAAAAAAAGAATTCTCAGGTTGCTGGAGCAGGGTTGGTCGCCAAATTTTTGCCAAAAAATTGCCAAGTTACCATAATCCGAAGATTCACCGCCATTTTCTCTCTCAAATCCTGCTAAAGGCAACCCTTCCCTTGTTAGTTAGCTCTTCCATACTTTGCCTTTGTAATAAGTTAAATGCGAAATAAATTTAAATATCTATCATTGTTATAAAATTAATTTCAAAATATAAAATACCATTTTAATAAAGATAGCATCATTTCTTGCCTCAGTAATTTAAGATCGATCCGGATACAGAAGACTTTGATCAAGCTGAAAACGGGATCTGTCTTCCTACTCTTTCTTATAACTGTACTTGTCAGTTATTTTTTAGTACAGACTCGCCGAATGGAAATTGGAATATTCTCGATTTTTTAGTAATGATCTAATTCTGAAAAAAAAGTTGATAACTTTTGATTAGTAATTGTAAACACCGGAGAAGAGTTAAGAAAATAACAAATAGAAAACATTTTAAAGTTAAATGCATAAAACTCAAAAAGTGGCTAAGAGCAAGCAGCGAAGATTATGGACATGTTACTAAGAAAAGCGAATATTTATTGATAAACTAACTGTCGATAAGCATTGTCTCGAGGAAAACGCAGGTGGAGCTTAAGCAAATAACCCATGCTGTATCTGAATGTCATGTGCTATGTATAAATCAAATAACTGACGTCAATCTAATCTCCGTATCCAGGCGCTAACAGACGATATGGTTGATACGGAAGTAATAGTAAAATGAAATATGCGTGTAAGGTATATTTTGTTTCAAAAACGTATATATTAGAAAGCAATGCTAACAGACCTTTACTTTTTCTAATAACTAATTTAATGTTATTTGAAACATTTTTTGCCCCCCCCCAAGTAGTTGAGTAGCTAAGAATGCTGAATGTTTAGAGTTAGACTGGGTTCGATCTCAAATGAAAGCACTAGCTGCTTCATTGATTTTCGGGGGTTTTTCTACGTGTAATGCGAATACATGCCGGATTTTCTTTAGGACCCGCTTTCGACCTCCTCTGGGTTCGCTCCCACGCGAACGGGCTTGTTGCGTGGTCGTTTTTTGTGGTTCTCCCTAGGCGTAACGCGAATACCAGCCAGTTCCCCTCAGAAAATCCTCCACGAAGGCATTCCTCCTCTTAACTCTTTGCGGCACAGTGTGTCCGGTCTGTACACACCTAAAAAATTTTCATCTGTTTGCACAGAAAAATTGAATGAAAAAGGATTTATAGGTTACTCTGAACCTTCTTTATTTATAGTAGATGGCAGCTTAACGCAAAACAAGTCTATATATTTTAGCCATGTTTAGTTTTTTAAGACCCTCATTTTTCAAAAAAGTCTTCCAAATTTTTTAGGGTATAAAAGGAATTGTTTGAAAAGAAATTTCTATGTTATATTTTTGACTGTATGCTAATCTCCTTATTCTACATTAGTTTTAAATTTTTACCTTGAAATCTTGCCTAAAATCAAACGGCGAACCCTAGGTGTGCCCAGACCGGGCTCGCCGATCATCTAGGACAACTGGAGAGTCTGTATTCTTTGTTTCTCCGCATCTCATCGGTCGGTTCATTGACAATAATGCTTGTTTCATCACTCTTTTCGATGCTCTATTCGATCAAAGTGGGCACATTCACATAATTAAAACGATAAGTGCTATCTCCACAAAATTTTACTTGTGTACTCCTCTAGGCCTTATTAGACTGCCTACCATTTTTTTTTCTTTTATTAAAACTCCAACTTTAAAAGGTAGCGTGCCCTCGTAGGTTTAAAATCATATTCAAATAACACACGCACCCTCCTATTAGACAAAGAGCTCGTGTGTGCTTTGCGTTATTTGAGTAACCTAACCTAATTATTTTGATGCCAATTGTGGAGTGTTCGCCCGATTCTTAAAAATAAAGGAAAGTCGAATTTCTGCCAGTTGTATACTGATGCAAATGAGAAATTTGAGGCAAAATTTAGTATATCCAAGTAAACTTATTTTTTTGGCAATCATTTAGATTTTTATTTTCATTTTTACCATATCCATTATTTTTTATGATAGTAGAGCAAATGTACCGAGATTAATAACAATATATTTCGTTCCTAAGAATTTTTTAGTTTGTTTGCAGTATCAGCAATATGGTCTAACCGATTAGCATTAACATGTTATTTCAAGAGAAAATGGTTGAGAGAAATGTTTATTATTATTATTACTATTATTATCATCCATCATCAATGAAAGGACTTCAAATTTGAGTATTTGCGGTTTTAAAAGCGAAACTTTGAATATTTGTTCATTTTACACTCTTTACAAGAGTATAGAAACCTTTAGATGTAGCGAAAAATGTACTTTCATGTATATTTTAGTAGCAGAGATTTTAAAGTCATTTCAAGCGTGAACTTATAATAAAATAGTGTTAATTTGAATAAAAAATTTTTATAGATATATAATTTCTTGACTGAGTACTTCTCTTTGATTCATTACATTAAGGCTCAGGTTAATGTAAAAACGGTGAAAATTACAATAGGCTCCAAATTGTAATAAAACTTTTATTTAAAAATATTTTGTAAAAAAAAGAGATTTATTAATTTCCTACTTTATAAATTTTGAACTGACTTGCTGTTTATACTTTCCGAAAAAATCATTTCGATTTATTTTATACTTCTGCAATCATTTTGGAGGTAAGTTTCTTTTATTAGAAATTACTGGGATCAAATCTAAGAACTTCACCTGTTTTTGACATCACAAATGAAATGGGTCGTGCAACAAATTTATCATCATAGCTGTCCTTCATATTCTAAAGGGTTTTCTGCTTGTACTTTAATTTTACAGTATGCTCATTTTATAAGAGTCTCAGCTACAAAATGTTAAATTTTTCATAGTTCAGCTACGGAAAATGGTAATTTTATCGCGTTTAACAGGTGTTTAGACAAGATAAGAGACTGGCTGAACATCTGTTAGTCACGATTGCTTGTTAGTTTAGAATTCTGGTATCTCTGACATGAAGAGAAAAAAAAAAATATGCGTTGCAATTGTGTAATAGTGTTTGACATATTCTTTTTTCATCGAAATAGCAGATTACTACGTCAAAAAGTTCGATTTATTATTATTCGATCTTATCGTAGTAGCATGTTGCGTTATGACTAGAAACAGGAATTTAAGGTACAAAATTATTGTTCAGGAAAAAGAGAAGAAAAAGATTCTGAAAATGATACGAAAAAGTAAGGAACAGGTGTTGATATTTATTCAGTTCTTAAAAAGAATTATATTTTTTATTTATTCTTGATAAATAATTGTTACACGTTGTAAACAAGTGGAATTCTTCAGAAATAAAATACGATGCTCCAGTGTTTCAAGAAACATAATTCATTGGATAGCGCTCGAACTTTTTTTCGGATTGTAAGGTTTTGATCCTTTGAACTCAAAAAATCATTGGATTTTAAAGAACCATTGCTAAACATTAACAAAAATAAACGAAGTACATTATGAGAAAATGTGTGTGTGTGTGTGTGTATTTAATTATGGCAAAGCACACGAGGGCTATCTGCCTAAGGGGAGGGATGCCTTCGTGGAGGACTTTCTAAGGGAAACTGGCTCGTATACACGTTACACATGGGGAAAACCACGAAAACACCCATGCAGCCAGCCCGTTCGCGGGATTCGAACCTCGGACCGAACTACCAGTGTTCAGCGACTTTACCGCTCGGCCGCTGGTGGGCCTATGAGAAAATGGAAAAGCAGCTCAGTCGAAGTTGCGAAGATTCATTTAATTCTCCAAACTGTAAATCGTACCCCAGAAGTACCTGCATCAAAGTTTTCTAAAGAGCTCCTGGACATTGAATATTTGTCAGACATGCTTGATGGAAGCTGCTTTTGCTCAATCCAGGGCGAATAAAAAATTTGACACTCTCTCGCAACGGAGTGCCAGTCTCCAAATGTGCGCTAAAGCGCCAAACGTGGTAATCTTATGAAAAGATTACCACGAAAAGATTACCACGTTTGGCGTCAGGAATAGCTATCCAATGACATAGTTGCGAATAAGCAGGAAGAATGGACATCAAATTTAGGAATTTTCTCTTCAGATGCTTAAGCACATGGATTAGCAAGTTCAAGATAAGAATACCAACAAGTTAACCTTAAATAGGATATTAATTTAGAAGTCAAAGAACAAAAATCAGCTTTATATTTGCAAATTTTCATAGGACTAGTTTCGATGGTTTTACCGAACCATCATCTTCAACTTAAATGTGAAACGCCTTTAGAAAATCGAATTCTCCAATGGAGTCTGTTTTTTTGAATAATTTTCGCTGCAGAAAAATTGAAAGTGTGATTTTCAGACCAGCAGTCCAACTTCGGACAACTACTCCTTACTCATCGAACTCATATGGTGGCGACTGCACGAAAAGATAAATTTCTTTATGCAGTGGTAAATGAAATCGGAAGTTTTAGGCCTTTCTCTAATTTGAAATTAATGTGATAAAATTTTTATATTGGTTCTGGATTAATTAAAAAATGAGTCATTGTCTTCATGAAGCTTTGTGTATCATTAATGTTATCGCCATCTATTTAATTTCATGTCAACATTTATGTTTGGTGCTAAGAGGCGCCCTTTTAAATGAAAGGTACCAAAATTTGTGTTGAATCTTAAGTAATAACGCGAATGGAAGCCAGTTTAAATAAATAAGGAAAATCAATATTGCTTTAGCACCTGTTGAAAAGTTAAGAAAATGGCGTTTCGAGGAAAGGTAATAGTAATAACTGTTAAATTTTGTAATAGAAAAAGTGTAGCAGTACTTTTACAGTAATAGTATTTAATTTTAATCCTTTCCATTCACAGGCTGTTTATTTTGCTCAACTGGAAGTGTTAATCTGAAACTTTCAAATGCTATTATTATGCATTTTGGTGAATAAAATTTGCTGAGGTAATGAATCTACATATCCAAAATTATAGTTTTTACCAATTTTCTTATATTTTTAAGGCCTTTCTACACTAAAATATTACAAAAATTGTCGTGTATATATATATATATATTATATATAGTATATATGTTACCGTGAAAGACCGATATTGGAGAATGTCGGCTTTCACCGGAGAATGTCCACATTCACCAAATACGTCGGTGAAAGATCGAGTATTGCATTACATTCTTGTACATTCGGACCCTCACCGGTGTGTGTCGACAATCACAGATATGCTCTGGTGTAGGTCGAAAAGAGAGGAGTATATGTACATGCTGTCTTTGCAAAAGGAAGTGTTCCACAAATAAATGCAGTTGTAAAAGCAAGGGTCTCTTGTGCAATTCAAAGTGTCATAATAGTTTAAGTTGTTGCAATAAATAAGATTGGAATCACATAATTTAGTAAGTTTTTAACTTCTATTATTTTCCTTTCTCATTTTGAATGTACTGTGTGTTTTAAGTTCTTATATTCTTAAGTTCTTATTTTAAGTCTCAAGTGCGTTTTTTCGCGACTGAATGACGGAGAAGAAAATATAATATTCTTACATGTTCAACATTCACCATTAGTGCATGGTGAATGTCGACATTTACCGGTGTAAGTCAGAAATAAGATTATTTGGAAAATACTTCGGACATGCACCAAGCGACTATGTGAATGTTGATATTCACCGGTGAAAGTCGACATTCTCCAGATTTCGGTATTTCACCGTAACATATACACGTATACACATGCTCACGTTTTGTTCACAAAAGCCCTTACCTCATCTTTATTTTTTCCACAGTTGGCTGTATACTTGCAGTTACAAAAATGTTTTAATTGACTCAAATATTTATGTTATGGTACTTTCAAAATCTAAAAAATATTATGTTATAAAAATTACGAAATAAAATTTTTATACGGCATGGGTCTTATACCCAGAAAAGTGTTTTTAATCCTTTTTACCTTTCATTTCAAAATTAATAACATTTTATTCTGATAAGGCTCCTTAGAAACCTTTCATTTCAAAATTAATAACATTTTATTCTGATACGGCTCCTTAGAAAGTCCTCCACGAAGGCATCCCTACCCTTAGGCAGATAGCCCTAGTGTGCTTTGCCATAATTAAATAAACCAAACCAATCTGATAAGGTTCGGTGTTGCTGAATTAGGAAATTTGACTCTTGGGAGGAAAAACTTACTGAAGTCTGTCTCGAGGTTTTTGAAACAAAGAATTATTTTTATTTATTAAGAAAAAGAAAACAAAGTTGGAGACATCTATGCTTACGAAAATGTTTTTTAAAGGTTTGTGATGAATTACCTATTTATATATATATATATATATATATATATTTTTTTTTTACATTTTTTTTACAGACATGTTACACATATTTTGTGAATGATACAGTAAGCAGGATCAAGTTCATTAACTGTGCTTTCCATAGTCCATCTCAACATGCGTCCCTTGATTTAGTAAGTCAATCTTCTCTTCTTCAGTAGAAATATTTATTGTATGCATTAGGAAATCTTATGTAAATTCTTGGCTTTCAGTTAAATTATTGGGTAATATTGGATAAAATGTTTTCTTTAGCTTTTCAATTCTTTAGCCACGTTATTAAAAATATTTGCTGAAACTTAATCTGTATAAAACGTATGCACCGCAGTGAACACATGAAGACTGCAAAAAATGAAAAAACAGAGAAATCAGTGACTTCACCTCTCGTAAAGAGTTCTTTCTGGTCCTTTGAGTTCCGATTTCATTCGAAGTTCAGTTGTTCATTTGTTACAAATAAGTAAATAGCTTTCGTAAAAAGTACATCTTGAGTAAAAGGTATGAAAACTCCACCAGCTGACTTGAGTTAATGGACTGCGCAGAGAAGTGGTGTGGATGTCCTGTCAGAAAGTTGATTCTTTATGATGGGTGAAGTCATCTGACGAAAGCATAGAAAATGGTGCGATTTAAATTTGTCATTTGCAAGTCCTATGAAAACTGTCTGAATGGAAATTCTTCAGTCATTCATAAGGAAGGTTTTTGATAAATTTATAAAGAACTACAACTACTAGTTGGAACAAAGAACGACAGATCCTTAATAGTTCGCTTATGTAGGACCTTTAGCTTGATCACGAACTTATCACTAAAGCACTGTCCTTCGACCTCTGTAACCATGGTTCAGCAACAGGGGAGAGAAGAACGATGCTTCGAGCAACTAACATCAGAAAACCCCACCTTTTAAACGAAACGATAAAGCTTCTATTTACAACTTAACGCCTACAGTAGCTAACTATAAAATAGCACTACCACCATTCACTATAATTGATTGATCAGGCCAACAACCGTTGCTGTTTTAACCTGTAGAAGGTGATGCTTTTTTCCATTGGCGGTTAATTATTGTTACGAATTTTGTATAATGTAACGTGAACGGCTTCAAGAAATGCGAAGCTTTGCTGGACAAATAAGATTACAGAGACAAATCTATTTAACACTGGGGTGAATGGCTATCTGGCAAAACTGGCGAGATATTGACAAGATGGCGACGGGTTTTGAGACTGACTTTTGTGGCCAAATTTTGCGAAAATCGTCAAAGGTTACCAATTTTAACGACATTTTTGTCTGGTGCCTGTGCAACTGTAATTGATCCCTATCCAGTCCTTGTATATAACTTTAACCGTATATGCCTTTCAGTAATTTCGAGGAATGGAAGACGCTGGATATTCCTCAGCGCTCGTTGTAAAATTATACGAGGCCAGAGGAAGTATAAGTTCTCAGTTTTTAGCCCCGAGTTGAAGTCGAAGTATTGAGAGATCTCCTTGCAAGGTTTGCTCTCTAGATGCCCTGTGCATTGCGTTCTTAGTAGTTTGATATTTAACTACTGATTGTGTTCTTTCATACTGAGAAGAGCTGTGCCAGTAATTCTGTAGAAAGTTCCAGAACTGTAAAGGTTTACTTTTGGAAAATTTATCAAGTTACCATTAGTTTATTCAATCCATTACGAACCCGTAAGCAATCGCAGAGCGCTGCCTATAAAAGGCGAGAGAATTATAGCTGTTTGAGCTGGTAGTTGAAACTTGCAGGCAGAAATGAGGGAAGCACTTCCGCAGAGAACCCGGTAAATGTAAACATCGCCAACTTTGGCGATAATAGTTCAAACCTGGTAACCTAGTTAATTCATCCTATTCCCTTATGCGAAGATTGTCGTTGTTCGCATTTGGAGATTTATATTTTTTTCTTATTTATTATTATTTTTTCTGAATTTTTTAACAACGAATAGATAGAAAAATTTTCGCATAATTAAAGAAGTTTTCGTCGAAAGATGCCGGTTCTCGGGTCGTCAGTTCGGGATCAAAGGAAGAAATTATGGCGGGAGGGGCGAATGCTAATTTGTAACATGGCTGTTCACGTTATATTCTTGATTATTAACAGCTGTAAGCACGCAGAACCATGAGGTTTCCAACCCCTATAATAATTTTAAAATGTATAAAGTTCTAGTTTTCTTAACAATGCTACTGAAGAAAATTTGATTACATAATTGATAGGTCATCATTTGTATTATTTCACAATAGTGAAATATATTATGAAAAAGGATAGGTATTTGTTTCAACGTAAAATGCTTTAAGCTGTATGCAAGTAACTTCAAAAAAAAATTAAAACTATGTAAAATGGATGTATTAAAGTTCATGCATTCATAAATTTATTACATGGGCATGGCTCTTACCGAAATACATCAATCAACAGGCAAAGTACTTAATAGTGAAAAAAGACACTTTTAATAGAAATATTAGTATTCTATATGAATTAGAGAAAATACATATAAGTATATTGTAAACGTAAGTATAAAAATACTAATTGTTATTTTTTAAATGAATTTTTACTTCCCGTTATGTTTAATACATTGTTTTCTGTGCTAACTTGAATTTAATACAAATTATATTTTCGTATATCACGTTTAACCGGTTATTTTTTACATCTACATATGCTTATTATCTGTGAAATTTTTACTACCATATGCTTAATATATTGTTTCAGCTAACTTGAATTTACATCACAAAAAACCACATTTAGAAAATATCACGCTTACGGCTCGGCTCGAGCTTGGCGACTAAAACTGCAACGGCGCCAACGGGTTCTTTCCCGAAGCGCCAACGGGTTCTCTGTGGATGAAAACCCGAAATGAGTGCTAAACTGTACATTAGCGACTGTGGCAGTGAACAGTAGGAAATGATGGAAATAAAAACCTTGATATGCACAGCAAATAGGGACGTTGGAATCACGCCAGGAGCTCTGGGAAAGTATAAACACAGACAACTATCACTGTAATCAGCATCATACATTCATCACTGTAGATTTCAATAATAGGAAGCTTTCTTCCTCTTCTATTCTGTGCCTCATTTAACGTCATTTTCAATTAATCGCCGATATGATTGTGCAATAAAAGTATCTTTTATGTGCAGAAAAATGCTGAGATTTTAATTTCGCATCATGGGAAAAACTCTATTTTTAAAATAAACTATAAGTGCTTAAGAAAATTGCCTTTTACATATGTGGAGCAGACCACATCTGCCCTATTCATATTGCCATGTTGTTACAAAATTTAGCTTGCTGTTTTTTTAACACAGTTTTTATCCCTAGTGCATTCAAGATCCAGCACTGAAATATAACGTCAAGAAATGTGCAGATGGTTCTTTGGGAAATAATCTAGAATATCAAATGGCAAAGAAGACTGAAGCTTTGAATCCACGTCATAAGTTTATTCCCTGGATAACGGTGAACGAAGTAAGTCAAAAATTGAGTACATAGTGTAGTGAAATATAAAAGCTTTCTAATGAGGTAGATACAGTGGATGGACAAAAATATGGAAACACCTTGTAAAATGCATGTTTGAAAAGAAAGATAGATTTTAATGAAATATGTAGGTGGCGCTGGCGTTTTTGACTACTGACGCCACCTATACAACTTCGTAAATGTGCTAAACACTTCAGTTGTTGTCGGAGTACTGTTATGTGAGGTTGACATTGCATTATGTCAGAGTTAACAGACTTCGAAAGTAGGCAAATTGTTGGAGCACGTATGGTAGGTGCTTCCGTAAGCAAGGTAGCCGAGGTGTTTAGTGTTTCAAGAGGTACTGTATCGAAGATTTATTCCGCATATTTGAAAAGTGGAAAAACATCATCTGCTAAATCACAGCGCGGACGAAAGTGTGTCCTGAGTGATCGTGACAGACGATCATTAAGGGCAATTGTGACGAAAAAATAAGAAGACCACAGCTGCAAAAGTTACTGCTGAAATGAATGTTGTGTTACCGAACCTTGTGAGTACCAAAACAATTAGAAGGGAGCTTCATAAACAGGGAATTGCTGGCCGTGCTGCAATTGAGAAGCCACTCATCAGTGATGCTAATGCCCGTAACAGGAAAAGGTGGTGTTTAAGTCATAAAGCCTGGACTATAGAGCAGTGGAAACGAGTAATATGGTCTGACGAGTCTTCTTTCACATTGTTTCCCACTTCTGGCCGAGTTTACGTCTGGAGAACGCTATCTCAAGCCTATAATACAGACTGCTTGTTGCCAAGAGTGAAACATGGCGGGGGTTCTGTTATGGTTTGGGCAGCCATATCGTGGTTCTCTGCTAGCCCCATGATAACTGTGTTAGGGCACATGACTGCCAAGACTTATGTGAACATTTTGGCCGATCAAGTTCATCCCATGGTACAAACTTTGTTCCCCGATGGCGATGGTGTCTTCGAAGACGACAAAGCCCCTGTTCACACAGCTCACATTGTGCAGGACTGGTTTTCTGAGCACGATGATGAGTTGTCCCATCTCCCCTGGCCACCACAGTCACCAGACCTGAATATTATCGAACCTTTGTGGTCTACATTGGAACGGAAAGTGCGTTCTCGTTATCCACCGCCAACATCGTTATCTGAACTTGCCACCGTTTTTCAGGAAGAATGGTATAATATTCCCTTGCCAAACTGTATTTATCCATTCCGAGAAGACTGCAAGTTGTTTTGGATGCCAACAGGTTTTCTACACCATATTAAGCAAAGAAACATGTTTTTTTAAAGGTGTTTCCATATTTTTGTCCAACCCCTGTATATTCATATTTATGTAATATATGCCAATGTTTATGACTCTCGAGCGCTATTAAAATAGAATCATATTAATCTCGGACATCTCTTTTTATAAATAAGATTTAACTTTTCATTTACACAATGACCCTGTTAGCAGTAATAAATTTATGTATGCATTTATCAAAATGCCTCATTAGGATCACTTTAAGTAAAGCAATCCTATGTGAGCTCGATGTTTTTGAAAATGCAATGTGACAAAGATAACCTATAATGTCGTTCTTCAACAAAATTAAGTAAATAAGCTTTTATAAGTGTAAACTTAAGGAGCAAATGAAGCATTATCATACATTCATATATAACCCTAAGCTAGTTTCCCTTAGAAAGTCCTACTTGATTCTGTTGTTGTTGCTGTTTACTAATGCTCACTTGTCTGAGCTATAGTCAGGCCAAGCCCACGAAATACCTCGTAGCAAGGAGGACAAGATACACCTGTGGTTGGCAACAGCCTTGAGCACCTTACAGGTGACAGGCTTATTCACAAAGCTACAGACCGTTTCTACTGCTGTTTGCTCCGATTGGTTAAAACGGGAAACGTAGGGTTGCAGAACCTAGTGCTTGGCGACTTTTGGTTCATCGCCTTTACAATTTGTATTTGAGCGTGGTGTACCAAAAATTGTGTATAACCGGTGCTACTTTGGTAGACGGTTGCACGGATTTTTGGCGATTTACGTTGGCGCAATTGTTGGCGCGATTTCTACAAACGTCAGCCATCTTGAAAACGCTGTTTTTACGCAATTCGAAACTTAAAAAAAATAAATAAATAAATATCGTTAGAAATAATGGATTAATTTTTTTGTTGAAAATGTCGTTTTTTAAGATGGCAGGCTAGTGTAAATAAATACATTTACTATGAGTATAAAATACTAAAGTAAGGTTATTATTACTTTCAGATAGCAAAGAAGAGAATAAAAACACCGCTATAAAAACATTGTGCCAACGTTTAATTAGATTAAAATATTACTGAAATTGAATATCGAAATAAAAATCATCATCCAACATTTAAAAGAATTAGAATATTATTAAATTTAAAATACTTTAAAATACGTTATATAGAATATATATATATATATATATATATATTATATAGACTAAATACATTTACTACGAGTATAAAATACTAAAGAAAGGTTAAATTATTACTTTCATATAGCATAGAAATAGAATAAAAAATACCACTATAAAAACATTGCGCAAACGTTTAATTGGATTAAAATATTACGTAAATTGAATATCGAATTAAAAACCATCATATCAAGCGTTTAAAAGAATAATTAAATATTACTTAAATTAAAATACTTTAAAATAAGTAAATAAGAACGCTTCGTACACTAGAGCTAAAATGACAGGAATTAGTTTATTGTCGGTAAAAAAGGAGGAATGTCTAATAATTGTTCTTACCGTTACAGCGGTTATTTCTTCCAACATAGCCACAATATCATATACGTTCGTCCATCTCAGAATCGGCTCTTCTAACGGTCTTCATCTTATGATCTACATTTCTCGCACTTCATTGAAGAAACAATCAGCGACGGTTTCCTTCCAAAATTTTAAAATAAATTTCCTCTGACCCTCGTAGAATTTATAAATAAATCTTTGATTAGGAAAGCCAGGCTTGGCGAAAATAAGGTCTCAAAGGACAATTTTTTGATTCCGAAACCAAAAATTCTTGGTACTTAGCAAAAACAACATTCATCTTTGAAGGAGACATTTTTGAAGGAATTCGAAGATATGAATTAAATTTTAAAATGGCGAGGTAATGCACAAATTTTCAGCAACCTATCAGGGAGCTGATTACGGCTCATTAATGCACAAATATTCTAAAACCAATCAGAGAGCTGATTACATCACGCCTAGAATTAAAATTATTTAAATAATCATGCATAATAAAATCATTTTAAAAAAGAAATGCAAAATTAAATTGTATTTTAATATTTAACAGCCATAAATAATGTTTAAAACATTAGATTGAATTTATAGATATTAAAACCAATTACTTGTAAAGTAAAGTGACGTCACTGATTACATCATCCACAGCATAAAATTTCATAAAATATGATAAAGAATAAAATTTTTATTTCAAATAAAAATGCAAAATTAAATTGATTTTAATATTTAGAAGCCATAAATAATATTTAAAACACGGAATTTATGCATAATAACACGCATTATTTTTTAAATAAAATGTCAACAAAGTATCGGTTACCATAAATAACTTATCCAGCAATGGGTTTACCATAAGTCGTATTACTCGCCAAAAGAAAAATTGGCAAAAACTCGCCAAAATCCGTGCAACCGTCTACCAAAGTAGCACCGTATAACCCACCAGAGAAACCGTAGCTCAACGGTAACGAGCGCGGAAAAAAATTCTCTAACTTGTAGATCGCCGGTTCCATCCCCGTTCGTGGCTTTCATAATCTCTGCTCTACACGGATTTATTTTTATTTTAACTTTATTGAATGACTTTGTCATTATTTGTCTTTTCGGCTTCGGGTGCGGTGTTAAAAATTAAAAGCCTTTATTTTCTCTATTTTTCTTAATTTTTCTTATTTTTATTTACTGGTTTGTACTCTTTGTAGTAGGTACCAGCAGCAAGATTATGATCCAAGAACCCGAAAAGCGTTTCAATAGAAATAGCGCATAATGGAATAAAATGTAATTTTAGTTACACTTAATTTAGGTAAAAAAGAATACATATCCGACGCTCTTAAATGTTTATTAAATGTTTTCATTTGGTTTATTTTTTAATATTCCTTTATTTGTATAAATTAATGCGCTATGGAAATTTACACAATAGACACTTTCTAACAGAAATGACGAAAAAGTGCATATGCTATCTCCATGTAAACACATTTTTCTTGTAAAACAATTACGTACTTTTAAAAGTTTAAATTCAAATACAAATAAACTATTAATAAAATCAGTAAGTTATTTAAAATATATTTCACACAATACCTAGAAGCTTTCATTCATAAACTAAAAAAATCTGATGTGTACACCACATGACTTCCTTGTACGGAATATTAAATTATACGCATTTTTTCTTAAATTTCATTTAAATTGATTGGATTGAATTAAATCTACTTCGTCGACAACGCATAAACCACAATAGAATAAATGCACTCTTTAAAATTCACTATATTTGTTTACTATAACGACACTTTATTGTCGTTATAGAATGCAGAAAATTGATATCATTTGAAGAATTATCGTTGCCACATGTTCTATTCAAATACTATAATAAAGCTAAAACGATGTATGAAAGAAATTAAGCAAACAAAACAGAAAAGAAACAGTTTTTCACAGACGATTTAGTATTTCTCATTCAATTAATTCAGCTCTCACTTCGCGACAAGGCAAAAATACATAAAAACTCAAAATATCTGTAGTAAATCTTAAACACTTATATCCTCGAAAAAATTACAGAAAGAATTAAGCATGATTTAATTCGCAATAATAAATGATGGCGTTATTTTTGTGTTGCGAAGCTTAGTTTCTCTAGATTGGCAACAAATCTACAATTCTGCTGTTTCAAATGTAAACAAATATGTCCGCCATGTTATTTAAAACTTAACCGCACTTAAACAGCTTTTAAATTGTTGATAATTGTACAAATATTGCTTCCAGAATTACGAAAGGCATAAAAATCTTAACCGGAAGATAAAAAC